GTGTGTGTGTGTGTGTGTGTGTGTGTGTGTGTGTGTGTGTGTGTGTGCTTTTAAGTCTAATATATCTTCATCCTCTGTGCCATAGAGCTCCATTGTTGTCCAAAAACAGTGAGCCACCCTGTTGCACTGGTTGACATGTTCCTTCATTACCATGAACACACACACTGCACTTTATTATGATTTGATCCCACATACACTCTTGCTGCATTCATACTCACGAGAACACCAAATGTAAATTATTCCGCAGCTGAAAATAGTCCCCAACAAATGCAATATTTCTTCCTGTTTGTATAACATTTTATCAGCTGTTTCAGGGATTATTTAGGCTTTAAAATATGTAAGTATAAATTAGTCACCCGTGTTTAACTTTTCAGTTGGAATGAATGGACGTATGGCTGGGGAGGTCGCAAAGTGAGAGACGCACTCACACACTGTTGGTTTAGCCCTTTGAGCATTTAAAAAAAAGATTCTATTTGTCAGCTGTTCATAAAGACTGATGTCTTTATGAAGCAAAGGACCTGGAGCTGAGAGCCACCGTGTAGGGAAGTCAGAGTAGACGCATTGTTGGTTTTTCAGTATCAGTTGTGTATCTGCCAGTTTGATGCTTTTTTTCTGCCCACTTGTTGAACAATTTGATAACACAGCTCTGAAGGGACATTTTTTTGTCATGCCCTCTTTGACAGGACTAGAACATCAACTGGGCAAAGTGGGAAAGTGACCCTGAATCCCAGGGGTCCCAAGAGCCCCAGGCTTACTATATGCCAATTGGTTTGTTCTAATTTATTGAAATGGATTTGGGAATATGCAGCACTCAAGCAGAATATCAAGTGCTCTATTACCTGATATTTTGTTGTGTTTCTCATTTGTGCATTAATGTTGCACATTCCTAAATGAATCTGTTTAATCAAATTGAAACACGTCAAACCTGAATGGTGCAGGGCTTCACTAAGACCTGCTACAGGGGTAGGATGAAGGGTTCGCTGCTCTAAGAAAAAACTTTAAACTCTAAGGGAGTTTAAAGTTTAAAGACCCTTCAGATCATCTCCAGACTAGACATATTCAAATAACAAGCAAAAGTAAAGATAAACCAAGTGAAACAAACTGAATACAATACAAGCACTAATAAGGTAAACAACTAAAAACTATATCAATGAAGCACAAATGAAAAGAACAGAATATAAAAAGTTTAAACACTGATATAATTCACCAAACACAAATCATGACAACATGTCAAATGCATTTTTAGTTGCAATAGATGTATGTGCAAATATACAACTAAACAAATACTTTTGTTTACAGTATAATTGTATGGCTTATTATTAAGTGTGAAAGTCACACACATTTATTTTTGGACCACTATGATTTATAACTGCAATATTACCAAATGAAAAGCACCAGCCAGAGAGGTTTTTCACAACCTGGCAACTCAAAGGTCGGTCTTATTGATTAAAGCAATGTTAAATATAAATAATGTATCACCAAATAATAGAGCCCAGTGCCGGAGAGCAACGAACACTTCATGAAGTATACACTTAAAAGATAAAAAAGTAGATCTATTTTCTGCCTTCCACTTTATGATTCTGCTCCGCTACATTTTTCTGATGGAAATATTGTACTTTTTCTCCACCACATTTATTTGACAGCTACTGTTAGAGTTACTGTTAATATTATGATTTTACATACAAAACATGATCTGTGTATAAAATATGATGCATTGTTATGGATTAAACCACCCAAAAGTATAGCGCACAGCAGTGAAATAATATAAAGTTCCACCTCAACCTGTTACATTATTACAGCACTGCTTACAGAACATAACTTACGTCAATAATAACTCGATTATATTGTAATATTACACTGACAGGGGCCATTCTGCATAATGAGTACTTTTACTTGTGATTATTTAGGTGCATTCTGCTGATACTACTTCTGTAGTTAATATTAGTTAACTGATATTTTGAATGCAAAACTTTTACTTTACTATTGGAAAAAATATATAAATCTTTTACTTAAAGGTTCAGTTAAGTTTTGCAAACAGATCCCCCTAGATCCTACACACTGGTCCTTAGTAAACCACCACAGTGTAGAAATGCTCTATTACAAGTTAAAGGCATGCATTCAAATCACACATCAGTAAAAATAGAAAAGCATGGCAGGTTCCAGAATAATGTGAATCATATTATTGTATAATAATCATTGATTAATATGTTCATCACTTAAATGTTGCAGCTGGTGAATGTTGAGCTAATTTAAAATATTTTATACTGCTGTGTACCTTAACCTGGATAATAATGTAACATAATGTATTTGCTGATGAGATTTTGTAATTAGAATCTCAGTCTTTGACTGAATTTATTAAATAAATGCAGTGAAATAAAAAGTAAATATTTCCCTCTGAATTGTAGTGGAGTCAAAGTAAAAAGTGAGGTCAAATGTAGCGGTGTAAGGTAGTTAGGACGGCCCAGTGCACGCTACAATGACAGGCACTAAGCCACTGCAGCTTTTATGTTGTTGGGAGACGTCACTGTTCGCTCGGCATGCAGATGTGCTCAACATGTCAGTCTCGACAGATGTTAAGCCTAAACATGCTAATATAGTATCCTCTCATCACATGATCAAAAGAGACTTGGCATTGGAATACCAACAGACATATTACCCAGCAATCATCATTGCATATTTTTATGACAACAATATGAAAGAAAATAAGAAATTATTAATTGAATTGAATTTGTATATAGACTATTTATAGTTTATGTAGAACATGCAGCATCTACTTTTGCCATAGATTACTATTGACTATTTTACCCCAAAAAATGAGTACCATGATGGAGATGACTAATATAATTAATTTAAAACGCAACTATTAACATAATTTTAACTGTGAAAGAGCAACTAACTACTCGTTAATTAAACAATGAGATAGTGCTCATCGGCCTGATACATTGTAACCATTCAAGTCAAATACAAGTGTCTCAAAACTGTACGTACACAGCTTATAGCAGTTTACCTCAGTAACTGTACTAAATACCTTTCCACCACTGCAGTCTATTTTCATAGGTGACATAGTTCTATTTCAGTAGATGATCTGAATACTACACCTGCAATAAGCTAAATTACTTACAACCTGAAAAACTGTGACTTTACATGAAATGTGGCAAAAGGCTGCCATCCTGGGCTGTTTGAACACCGGGTCTTCTGAGATGAGCCCAGGTTCGTGTCCGGTAGAGGGTCGAGCGGCTTCGTCCACCACAGGACAGCTTTTAACGGCTCGAGGAAAAGTTCCGGGCAGTGGACGACACATAGCATTAAAAAAAGAAAACACAAACAACGGAACAAACGTGTTTCAGATGTAACTTCAAACATTGAGTAGCAATACATTCAAAACAGTATACGTCTCTGCATTGCATTCATCACTGCACCAGTCACACTGTATAATATTAATTTATTCAAGCAACCCTAAAATCTCGCGGTGCTACCGCTCAGACATCTTGCATTTCACTAAATCTGGTCTTGGAGAAATTTTCCATCAAACATAGCCTT